AAAGCAAGGGCCGCCGCAGAAGCGACAAAGGCTCGAACACTAATTGGTTCTCCTTTATTTCAGGTTTACTTCCACAAAATTTCGCTGCTGACTGTTGTATTAATGGTAGTTTGATTTTGAATTCTCCTTAAAATTGTAATTACAATTTAACAATACACTTTCCTGTACTAGTAAGCCTCCTTTATCATCATCCTTTGTTACATTCATTCCCCACATTCACCAAGCAATAATCCATTTTGATGTATTCCGCAAGATACTGTACTCGTATTACCGTACTCATGAAATTGTACTCCTCATGCAGTGTTTATTGCAGAAATTTAATCGTCCTACTTACTACATTTGTACTTTCACACGAATATTGTAAAACGCGAAATTACCGCTCACACCTCACTCATATAAACACTCTGTCCAGTGGACCGCTCTTGAAATCCTACTAGTCCTAATTCTTCGGCAAAGATCCCTCTACTACGTCGTATATTTACTCCACATTGCTTCCTCAGCACAGCCCGTGGCTTGCTGCTACTCCATAATTTACTACATCAACTAATAAGGGGATCCGAAGATGGACTATAACGTTTTTCAGCTGCGGCGCACTTGACACTCCAATACAATTACAAAAGTGAGGCATTATTTCGCGCTTCTATGCCTTTGGTATTCATGTATTGCTTGCCTCAGTTATATACACGACATATAATTCCTCCATATGTTACATTTTTTTCAAGTGTGCCCCGGGAATGTTGCGGTATGCACTTGCACCCGCAACGTCCTTCTTGTTTTGGTCACCGCCTGTCAGTGGGAGTGGCTTTCCCCTCGCTCGGACCGGCAGTTAAGGTTTTACGGACAGCTGGAGCGCCGTCCACGAAGGGCTGACCCCGCTGACAAGTGAGCGACGGTTGGTCTGTATCACTATAACTCCATTTATCCTTTTGTATCGTTTGGCAAAATAAATATATATAAATCAACTGGTTTGTTGAAGAAAATAGAAAGGGCCGCTACATAAAATCCTTCAGAAAGTTTCGTCCATCTCCCGTCCTCTGCTTGAGTATTTCGAATAGTTTTGAGGGAATTCAGTCTGCTAGTGAACACAGAATTACTACAACAGATACGTAAAACCAGTATGGGCGTGACGCGATCAAGTCATCTAATGCACACTTGACTTCCTGAAGGTTTTGAAGTTTTTCTCTTCGCTCTAGGCATGTAAACTTCTGAAAGCATGGTGGACACAACAGGTAAGGCCAACAAATGGAGATTGGGGTAGCCAGGCAGGGATGGCCGAGTGGTTAAGAGGTTAGACTCATGTCTGCACCTCCGAAAACCGCGAGTTCGATCCCTGCCGAGGTTCGAAACCATGCCCTGCAAAAATTGCAAAAATGGTTCTAGTACCAGCGTCAGGCCCAGGTTGACAGGCCGGCTGATGAAGACCCCCGTCACACAACAAACATGTCTAAAGTCGAAAAAGAATCAGTGATAAAGCTAGGACGTCACCCGGAAGTGGCGCGCAGAACCCCCGCCCGAGTTCTGTGGTCAGTATGCGAGGGCTACCGAGGAGTGAACGGCCTCGGCCAAAGAAGCTAGTTCGAATTGGGACTCTGAACGTAGGATCGCTAACTGGGAAGTCCGAGAGGTTGCTGACTGATGACGTGCAGGAATATCCAAGTCCTATGCTTTCGGGAGAAGCGATATGAAGACGCTAACAAGGATGGTCCTTCAGGGCAAGCCGCGCTTTTTGGAAACTGTTCCCTGCATATTGCAGGGACGCATGAGTGGACCACAAAACAATGCGTCTCTGGATATGGAAGATCCGTTTCGAAAAGAGCGGTTTCCGATGGAAGACCCCCCCCCAAAGGCTAGTGCGGGGAACTTGTCAAACTCTACTACAATGGAGAAGACACAAGCCACGGAACGGCCTAGGCTACAGAGGGCGCGGCGGGCGGGCGCGCCCCCCGGGGGCGGGCGGGGGCGCGGGGCGCGGCCGGGGGGGGGCCGGGGGGGGGGGGGGCCGGGGGCGGGGGGGGGGGGGGGGGGGGGGGGGGGGGCGGGGGGGGGGGGGGGGCGGGGGCGGGCCGCGCGGGCGCCGGGACGCGGGCCGGCGCGCGCGCGGCGGCGCCGCCCGCGCGGCCTAGGAGTCGCTCAAGGAGTGCCTTTGCTGTGAACAGGATCGGGGATCGGATCATGGTTGTGAGGATAGGCATGAAGGAGGGGTACGGGGCCACATTCTTCGTGTACGCACCGCGAACTGGATGCCTTTGACGATGCCATCAGATCGATTCCAGAAGGCGATTACCTCACCATAGCAGGTGATCTGAATGGTCACGTCGGCAGTGACAGAAGAGGCTTGGAAAGGGTGCACGGAGGTAGAGGAATAGGAGTGAGGAAACGCCGAGGGAGAGAGGGTTCTGGACCTGGCTACAGCCCACGATCTGGCAATCTGCAGCACGTTCTTCGCGAAAAGGGAGACTCAGAAGGTGACTCACAGCAGTGGAGGGATACAGATGGAAATCGACCATGTGCTTAGGATCATCTCTCACTGTGAAGTTCTTCCTATCATTGACGGAGAACTGGCTCTGGATAGGCACATCCAGGCAGGCATTTCAATAGATCCTTCCGAAGAAGACAAGGGTAAGAACCGAGAGGAGAATCCGGTGGTGGAAGTTGCACCAAGCAGAGAAGAACGACCTCAAAAAAGGATAATGGAAGTTGGTCTCCCAGATCCTGAGGGACCAGTGCAGTGAACTTGGGGCACGCGGCTGAGATCCTCAGGGAGTGGAAGGCCACTGTGTGTTGCGCAGATTTCACAATTTGTTAGGCACCCCCCGCTGCTATTACTATTGGTCTTGTTACATATTTTATGCCCGATGATCCAATGTGTGGGCCGCTCCACATGGAGAGCTTGGATTGAAAAACGCACCATTTATGTCGCGGCCCTTTCTATTTTCTTCAACAAACCAGTTGATTATATATATTTATTTTGCCAAACGATACAAAAGGATAAATGGAGTTATAGTGATACAGACCAACCGTCGCTCACTTGTCAGCGGGGTCAGCCCTCGTGGACGGCGCTCCAGCTGTCGGTAAAACCTTAACTGCCGGTCCGAGCGAGGGGAAAGCCACTCCCACTGACAGGCGGTGACCAAAACAAGAAGGACGTTGCGGGTGCAAGTGCATACCGCAACAGAGATCTTTTTGGCTTTTTTGACATGTTTTTTTTGGGAATATTTGGAGCTTTTGTAAACTTTTGGAATTCTTTTGGCACAAAGGTTTTGGTGCTTCTTTGTGTTACACCACATTTAAACGACAGAGGTGAGTTGTTCAACCCACAAATAATCTTAGCGAGTCGCATTTCAGTGACCGTTCTGCTAGTAATCCCATCGGTGCACTCGGTTACGGTGATTAGTCTACGTACGCAATCACACGCTGACGGCGCCGGTTTTTCAATTGACATCTGACATCGTCTCGTTACTGACTATGGGAATTTGGCGACGACAACACAAAATATTCAACAATTTTTCAAGTGGAAGGTGAGCCCTTTCCGAGTAGTGTTTTCTATCTTTCAACATTTCGTAAGAAAACGTCCTGAAATACAGGTTTTCCTGAAGTGTAAGTGTAACTGGTGGTTATTAAGGCCTCAGTCTCGTACAAATTTCCTCTGAAGAATACTGCACGATTTTGGTTTTACTCCCTGATAGAGTTCCTCTGCAGACTCATCACCGATTCCTAAGCTGACGATTTTTTCTCTCATGAAAATCGTTGTTGAACAACTTTCTTCTCACAAAGGCGAAGGCTTGCTTTGCATGATGCAGCATTTCCGAATTGCAATTTGCCTTCAAACAAAATACACTCTTGTTTTCGGACTCACTCTAGCGGCAAACAATTCCCGTAAGTCCCCAATGTTGAGCGTAATTTTTGAGATGTTTACTGTGTAAAGGTACGCGGTGAGAACCGACAACCTTGTGACGTTCTGTGCTAACAATAAGACTTAGGGTAGATTTGCTGTGTAGGACTATTTCTGCTAACTTATTACAGTTCCAAGTAAGGAAATAAATAAACTATGGAGGGAGTGTGATTGCCTGCGTGATTGCTCGACAAGGGTTGGTGTGCGGACGAGTTCGTTACCACAGCCCCTACTAGTACTGAGTCACCTGCGTGTCACTCCACAAGCCTGCAAGTCTGCTGTTCGAACTTCGCACTATTCGGCCGGTAGCCTAGCAAATCTTGCACTTAGCTAGTGGCAAATCCGTGGAGTCGCTAGTAGCGATTCCACGGATTCACAGCGAATCGCTCGGTTTGCTAAAGCCGATGTCAGACTTTGCGAATCGCGCGAATCGCTAGAGGCTGCGGCGGATGACGGTTGCAAATGGTCGATGTCAGACTTCGCGGTTGGAGCGACTGTGCACCAATCGCAAATCGCTTGAGCGATCCGTCGCTCCTGCAATTGGTGCACAATCGCTCCAATCGCAAAGTCTGACATCGGCCAATAGCAGCTTACTTGCCACCAAATATGAAGGACCTTTGAATTAAGCTTTGAAAAGGAAAGAGGGCTCGGGGGTTGGTAAGACAATCAATTATTACCAAGATTCTGATGTGTGGTAACAAAAGTCACCAGCGCCTGTTGAGGTGATAAAGTGCAGACAGGTTCAGAACACTGTCTCCACTAAAAAGACCAATTTCAGGTATGGGTGAGGGGGGATATAGTGTGATTCTGTCGCCTTTTCCAATTTTAGCGAGAGGAGGAAATCTCCGGGGTGAATGAACTGTCGCTCTTCCACTTTTACATCCACCCTGGAGCTTCCTCCCACTACTAAAAGCTGGATTACTCAAGATATATGAACTGTTGCAGCATATGCCCCTTTCCCTTACTGATGAGATCCTCAAGTTGTATGACCGATTTCTTCATGATAATATCTTGAAATAATGTTTTACTTGCGACATTCGTCAAGTCACAGTGATACTTCGTAATTTTCAGAGTGCTGTAGCTCCATTCGTGCGCAGACTGTTCATTAATGGCCAACTTCGAGCCTTACGGCAACCAGCAAGTACGTCTCTTCTTACCTAGTGCTTTTCTAAAGTGTACACTTTGCATATTCAGAGTAGAGAGTTTTTTTTTACCCATATTTGATTTGGGCGTGATTTTTTGTACTGGCTCGTGGCTCCTGGACATCCAAATGCTTAACAAAAAACCAATCAAAAGTTCTTGAGACTCAAATTAAGTATGAAGCGCATTGGCAAAATTTTGTATTTATACTTGATCTGGTGACTGTTAAGGACGGGATCGTTGGCATGACCAATTCTACACTTTGTTTCGATCGACGGGGTTTTATCGGTCATCGTTATTATGCTCCTATTGCTTGCTTATCGTGGTATTTTGCTCGATTGTAAAATGTGATCCATTCCATCTGAACACCCCTGTCGGGCGTCTCTTCGTTGTGGCTATGCCATAGCCAAGGTTGTAGCTGTGCGACAGCTCCGTGGCTTTTTTTCATATCTAATGGCGCTGCAGCGGGCTCGGACGAGAGCATGCTGCGGTCGTGTTCCCCTTCCCAGGGGTGCGCGTTCTCTGCCACTGGTTCTATCCCAAGGTCGCGGGAGACAGGCTTGGACCACAGGACCCCTCATTAAACGCGTGATATTGTAGCCATCCTCCCCTGTTGCACTTTTCTGAGGAGTTGCGCTGTCTGGACTTCTGCATGGTCGAGCCCAGTGCGACTGCTGCTGTTCCAATTCGATATGATGTCTTGAAGACAGAGGATGTGCCAGAAATGATCATTTGTGACATGGAAGCTGGGTCGCCATATTTCTTCCAGCATCAAAGAGCAACTTAACCTCAACGGACCCGCGTTATCGCCACTTTAACTTGCATCCATGTCAATTCAGTCGCAAGGTAGACTAGGATACCGCGCTAGTGGGGGCGGACCGCGATGTCGCGTTGGTTATTTCTCAGTTTGAACAATCAAGCATTGAGGAGTGTAAGCTGAACTGAACTTTCAACATTGTATCACTATCCTAAAATATATCTATCCTAAAATCCCAAAAATAAATGATGTTGATACTGTGTCTGTGTGAGTTATTCAGGGTTTTAATTACGAATATGAGATTAATTTTATGTGCAGGCGCAATAATGGTTGTCATATTCGTAATCGGGGTGCCAAGTCACCCCTACACACAAGTTTACGTGGAATTTGGTCAAAAAGGTCTAGCTCGAAAGGTGTCAAACGATTCGCGCCCAAAATTAATGTCGTGCTCGTTAGCAGGGTACTAGATAAACCACATGAGCAATACTTTGGCAATTTTTCTTGAGATTTGATGCAGTAGCGTTATATAGCACCGGACCCTCCATTCTTGAATCATATATCATGAAACACTTTTTTCTTTGGAATATACGTCCCGTGCCCTTACTAGTCGTGCCTCGCTTTTTTAAAATGGTTTTTTTTGCATGTGTCCATTGCGCGATTCTTTGGTGAAAAAATTCCGCCTTTCCGCGGACGCTTGGGCAAGGTCGCAAGTTGATACCAATGACTGGAAATGGATACTTATTACCATCAGGATCACAGTAGTAGGTTTTCACAAGAAGCTAGGCCGTGGTTCTGTTTTCCATCCATGTTCTCCTACATCATGCAGAAAACCGTTGTCAAAAAGCGAGTCACGGTCTAAGAGATCTTCCTGGTGAGGCTTGGTCCCGTTTCTAACGAAAAGCTCGTTCGACGCAGCTCTACGTGCGTTACCGCTACAGTGCCCCCATTTTGTGATAACGCCTCATTTTCTTGACCGCATTTTTTTAGAGCTTTAGACGATGTTATGCTTCTAGACATATTTTGTTGTGTTTGCTAATTGAAGGCGTTGCAGTTTTCAATATGTTTTCGTTTGTTTGCAGATGGAGCAAATGTCTTACTTTGTTAGGTGTCCGTGAGCTTCAGCGCATACGACAGACTCTTAACATGTTCTCCTTTGTTATTACGAGAGCGATCAATTGTGCACCAGCAGATGCCCCTGTCGGAAAATAGACCCAGAGGACATTTGAAGTGCTCCTTGTGCAATTGATTCTGCAGTACGAGCACAGTACAAGCATCATTCTGATTGTGTAATCCTACTGAGTAGCTGTTTTGAAATCTTTCTTTCCGGCATCAACTACTGGCATAGTTACCATTTAGAGGAAGCTCCTGACCTTGTTTAGCATTTTTCACACATTCAATTGCCTATTTGTTTTTACTTTTTTTTCTCTGTTACAGCATGTGGAAGAAGCCGAAGGTCGGATATTCGCGAGTTACAACCGTGTTATGAATGTTCCTGATGTTAGAATAAGTAATATTTTAATCTATCACACCTGATCGTATACCAATCGTTTCTCATTCAGCTTGCAGGTGTAGAAGGTCGAGAAGATTCTGCGAGCAATTCAGTCCAATTCCCAGAAGGAGATAGAGACTACTACGCGAATGATGTTGGGCACCGGGTCACTGGCACAGGTTTACTTTGTGATGTTATTGTTCTAGACAATTCTTTTCGCGTGTGCTGTTTTGAGGGAGAAAATTCCATTTAAAATTTCGTTCAATGTCCAGCCTACTGAATTGAATTTTGCATGATATCGACCTATAACGTCTTCTCAAGTGTGCGTGTGAACTTGAGGATAGACACGCATCTGTGTGTATATGTAGAGGGCAGAGTCATTTTTGAAAAGTTACCAGTTTGCGCCCCTATCTTGGAGTCCACGCATAGCGGCAAACATTCACTTTCCTCACAGAGTTTTTCTGAGTAGGGGGAAGGGGACGCTTGCTAATGTCCCCAGGTTTTCAGGCAATTAACAAGCAAAACATGTCATGACCTGATACCTGATAAATCAGTCAAAAAGTGACAGTTGTCCAAATAAAGCTTGTCAAAAGCTAGAGATCAGCTATCTTGTGATAGCTAGAGGCTTCATTTCAGTGGTTTTTCTTCTTTTTTATTCTTCGCTTTTGTTAACTGTCTAAGTTTTCTTGTTTTGTTAGCTTCCCAAATATTCCAGGCTGTGATATACAGTGGTGTTTTGTGACAATCAATTCTTTATATGTTCCAAATTTCATTGAACTATGTTACTTAGCAGTAACATATTATGCAGAAGTTTCTTTCTATATAAGGTTTTGCGCACCATCGTATTTCTCTATTTAAAAACAAACCAATAGTTGCAACGCAATGTTCCTTTTTTTAAGTTTGAGAGAAGTGAAGTTCTACCCGATCCGCTATCAGGGGATGTCGTCTGCATAGGGTCGATGTCAGCGTTTGCGAATCCAGCGATTCGCTAGCGAATCGCTCTGTAGCGTTGCACCAGCGAATCGAACTATGCACCAGCGATCGAACGATGTACCAGCGACTCAACACTGTTTGAAAGTGCGGGACCAACGCTCTCAATAATCCCTACCATTTTTGAACAGTTTCGAGTCGCTGTTACATCGTTCGATCCGCTGGGACGCAGCTCGATTCGCTAGGGCACGACTTGCTGGATTCGCAAACTTTGGCATCGGCCTAGAGGATGTTCTGAGGGTTTTTCCATGAGCTCATTCATGATGACTAACGGCGAGTGCTGGTTGGCGGAATTGACTTATGTTCACACGGCCGTCTCCACGTGTGCTGCTTAGGGCACGTGTGATGCGCAGAGTAGCGTATCACACGCTGAGTTGGTTTCAAAAATAGGTTTCCCATCACTTGCTCCCGTTATTTTTGATGGTATTGATTATTTGGCGAAGTATGCATTGTTAGATTAGCACTATCACAGCTCACCATGGTATGGAGAACAAAATCAGGTAGATGCGGAGAAATGGAATTTCTATTCTGAACCGTTTTTCCTGGGATTGCACTGTGATGTAGTTTTGCTTCTGGAATCATTCAATACACAACCCTGGATGTTACATTTTGACGGCTTTTTGCCTTAAATGCTGCCATCTCTCTTATTCTTTCTATTTTCGTCGTTAAGGTCGGCAGTCATCGTCTCGATCTGTTATTGAAGCGGCGGACAGGTTACGCGGAGAATACGCTCGCCTTCAGCAAACTATCAATGAGAGCCATGATGCACAATCGGTACCTCAGCATCATTTTGCGTTTTTTTTTTCATGAAGCATTGTACACTGGTTAATATCCAGATGGCTTTTAGATATGCTCGGTGCTCTCGGCAATTACTCCCTTTGTCGTTTTGTTCGCTGTAAAAGTGTTAATCGATAACTTCTCGTCAATCTTTCGAATAGCCGTCACTTCCGGAGGTTTTCTTGCCGTGGATATGAGAGTCCAGCAGTTATTTTCAGCAGGTATATCATTTTGTTTTCTATTTTACTTTCATACGAGGTATAAGCAAAGCACAAAGGAAAGATGAGGCGTAGTTCTGTGAGCATTTGCATTAGTTATGGATCAGTTCAGTGATTAAATAAGTTTTGTTGGAAGCGATGGTACTCTTACTGACTAGGGAAACTAACCAACAACTTTGGTATAGGGAGCCATCGGTTGCGGGACCCAATGCCTCCATTTACAGTGAGCCCGCGGAAAGTTGCTTTTCTGCACTCTGAATCAATGATCAGAGGCATTCATTCTTTTGCCTTGTATCTTATTTCTACGTTTGCGAGGGCGGGGCATACACCAAAATTTGCGGTGAGCTTACATCAACGCTCGATCTCCAACTAATACCCTAACATGCGCAGCCTGGAGCAAATTTTCTCACACCTTTGCCTTGCTCAACCGCAAACTTATGTGCGCTTGTATGTGCAGCCATTCTCATAAGGAGGATCACTTGGTCACTCCAGCATTAAAATGAGATGTGTACCAATATACGCGCTTCAAGACGCTTAGTTCGGATCTACTTTCGTTTTCTGCGAAGCGATTTTCTGAAAAAGTTATGAAGCAAGAAATTACAGTAGGAGTACACCTGAGTCCCAGTCAAGACATCGTTGAATCGCAGCCATCGCGAGTCATATTTTCTCTCCTCAGAAGTTTTTAAAGTATTTCTAGCTACATGTTCAGGTTATCTCATTTTAGATGCCTGTAGTGGCCAGTTGAGCTCTTCTTGTAAGACTTATTATAGGTCATTCAGCAACAAGTACCCGTTTCACTGCTGTCATCATATTCTTGGTGCTATTCTATTTTACTTCTGGTCTTTGCTTTCGCGGAAACGATTTTGATATGAAAAACGCCCTCCTTCTCAAATACGCGGTTTGTTTCTTTTTCTCTCTTCGTCGGAATGTATTTGTATGGGAATTGTTAGACCGATGTTTACGAAGTACTGTTACGCGAAAACTGCAACAGTAGTCATTCTTGATGCGACACAGGTCGAACGCATCACATGAGATGTCGGTGAGACTCGGCGATTGCATCGCGATGAACCAGTGCCGGAGCAACGCGATCGCTTCATCGCGATGCAATCGCCGAATCTAGGCAGAGCGGTTGCATCGCGATGGACAAGCGGTGGAGCGATCGCGTCGCTCCGGCACTGGTCCATCGCGATGCAATCGCCTCGTCTGACCGACATCTGACTTGAATATGGATGTCTCTACAGCACATTAATGTCTGGGCGTCTCAAAAGTTTGTGCGCATTTTTGGAGTTCCCACCGGTACTTTTAGGAGTTTCTGAATCAGTTCACCGTGAGCATGAACGACCCTCTTTTTTACAACTTGTTTTCTTGTCCACCCGGACACCTCGTATGGCAAACTCTCCTACATGTGGTAAGTAACGGTTTTGTGGCACCACTGGCAGAAGCACCATTGACTGGTTCGAGCGAAACATAAAAGGATAGGCTGTCTATGAAATATTTTTGTCCAACAGAAACTGTCACACTCATTCCCATCCCTATCAAGACGGAGGACGCGCTAAAACGCTCATTGCAGTCACTCTGCTGGGCAGCACCGTGAAAATGCCATAAGGTGCTTGTGTGCTCAAAGGCAAGAACCATGATCACGTTGATGGGTGATTCCACTCAAATGTGAAAGTAGGGATGAGAGGTGGACCGCCAGTGGAGAAAAAAGGAAAGAAAATCCTGAAATACACAGGAAATACGAGCATTTTGCTCTATGCTGTGGAGAAGTTCAAAAGACAGGCAGGGAGATGAGAGATAATGTGAGCGCGGAGAGCGGTAGAGAAGTCCGAGAAGAGAGAGCATAGCAGATCAACGCAGCGACGCAGACAAGACATCGATCGGTGGGCGGACCATGTTATGTTTGGTGGAGTCTGTTAGAAGTTCATGGCGCCTAGGGTCCTGTGACGGGTTTCGATGTAGAAAGGTGGCGCTAACTTTGCACTTGCGTGCCCAGCACTTCTAGCCATGGTAAGGGCTTTCTTAGGTGGGTCTGAGCCCGAACTTTGCCTTTACCTAGAAAGTCTTACCATGGATGGAAGTGCTGGGCACCCGAGTGAAAAGTCAAAACACCGTTCAACTTTTCGACTCCTTTTTTTCTTTTTTTTTGAGTCGTCTCATGTCTTTTCGTCCTTACTCTACATTATTTCATACATCTTTTCAATTATTTCAGGGTTCTGTCTACCATGGATTCTTTTTCACTGTGTACATGCTCATTCTTACCGACACATTTATCAAGATGATTGTTTCAGGTGTTAAATTGCTGGTTAGTTTTTAAATCTTATGCCTCCAAATTTATAAGCCCCAAACGATTCAAATCTATTTTTTTTCCATAGCGAAAGTTTGTAAATGAGAATAACCATTTGTGAAACAGAGAAAGTGATTTATTTCTATCTTCTCCACAAACAGTAGTTATGCTACATGTTGCGAAGCGCATGTCGTGCATGCATGTCAATCTCGTGATCGAAGAAAAGACTTCATTGAAGAAACCATAATAAATTTCGAGTTATTGTTCTTTTTCAGATTTCTAAGCAAACATGTTTTTTGAAAACATTGATATCCATTAAGTAGCAATCCCTCAATCACATTTCTTGAAACCTATGATTTTGTTAGATTCGTAGCCAATGCTTCTTTGTCGAGCAGGTGTTTTGCGATGGGAATAAATTCGTCATCCGGAAAGGTTAGAAGTATTTCGAAGGTTTTTAATTGTAACCTATCTCGCTTAACGCAGACCTACCCTATCACCTACAATTCAAACCAAATAGTTCCAAAAAACTCAGAAATCCAATGAGGTATTTCACCTTGAGTCCACTAACTCCCGAGTACGTACTCCACTACTTTGAAATAATGTAGAATGACCGATCATGCACTCACTAAGGTGCATGCGCGCACGGGTTACGTTATTCTTATGGTTTCGAAGTAGCGTCATCAGTTTAAGTGTGTCAGACCATTTTTCCCAGGCGATTTCTTATTTCCTAACATACAGTGAAATATGGACGAGGTCAAATATCGTACAAGGATATTCTGTAGAATACAATTTTTTTGCTGCTCAGAAAATGCCGACAAATCAGTTCAAAATAGCCACAATGATCCAAGTTAACCTTCTCGATGCCTTCTTCCTAAAGTTGTTCATAATTACTGCCGTAATGTTTCCAAGTCATTATCCGTACTACGGCTGCGTTGTACATCTCAGTAAGAGGCTACATATAGGGTAGTACCAATCACATTCAGTGAAAAATTCCGCTGGAAAAATGTTGAATCAAATGTGAAAATGGACCTCGACTTCTGTGTCAAAAATGATGTTTTTCTCAAACCAATAAAACAATCGGATCCTCTACTTATCGGATCATTTACTTGTCTAACATAATATTTATTCCCCATGTATTCGATAGTCATTGCTCTGAAATTTCTAGGTTGGAGGAGTGAGAGCGTAGTTTTCAAATTTTGACGTCACATTTTGTGCACAAAACTCGCATTTTCCAACCAAGATTTTCGATTCTTGAGAGTTAACCTTGCACATTCGTGTCAGCCACTTAATTTTGTTTGTGCTCTGTTGTGCTTTGTGTTTGTTGCTGTTGCTGGTTGTGGTGGATTTGTGATCGGTATCTGGTATTGCGAAGCTTCAACAAGTACTAATCTATTTTTCAGGTTTCATTGCTTAGTATTAAGATGGTTATGAAAAGGAAAATCAATCAGTTTTTGGAATACACGTCACAGGTACCGTTTAATTTCCCACTGATTCATGGCATGCTTCTTCTTCAGCTTCTTTAGACGTATCGATGCGTCGTTCCAGTTCCTCAGTGGATGCATTATTTCATTGGGACGGACGTTTCCGACTTGACGTTGTACTCTAACGGCGTGCTGTTCACTGTATACGGCATTATCAAGGTATAACAGTTTTTTGAGCGCTGCTTATTCCTTTTCTTTCACAATCAGCATACACATGCGACTTCGTGGATAGGACTATTGCTATGTAGTATTGAAAAAATATCCCACAGTCTCAGTGGGCCGATGTCAGACTTTGCGAATCGCGCGATTCGCTAGCGTCTGCGGTCGCGTCGCGGCCAGTGAATCACTCAATTGGCTGGTACCGCAACGCGACCGCGGACGCTAGCGAATCGCGCGATTCGCAAAGTCTGACATCGGCTTGTATCAAAAACCGAATGCCGGAAGCATGACCAGAAAATACATTTGTGCGAACACTAAAATTTCAAGAATCACCCTCATCACTCCCGGTCAGCCAAGGCAAGAGTTAATACTCGTATTGGTTTTCCTCCGGTAAGAGGGGGCGATATCCAGTATTCTCTAGTGCCAGTTTGACAAGAAGTCCTTTGAGTTACGAGCTGCTGTAGGCTTTATAAATTGTATTCTTCTGTTTTATGACGTAATCGTCTATGAAAGGTTAGGATGTGATTCACTAGGACAGAAGCGACTTCTTCGCGTTTCGCAGCGCGAAATATTTTTCGGAGAGGGAACCTCGGGTCCACTGATGAGCAACGCTGGAACTGAGGTTCCTACAGCGAAAAATGTTTCGCGCTGCGAAACGCGAAAAACTAGCTTTCTTCCTAGTGAATCATACCCGAAAACATATGTTTACCTAGTGAGCAGCTGGGAGGCCAAAGAATGGGGAGGAGCCTCTCCCGGAGAAAACGAAGATTGCTCGCGAACCTGTTGTTTTTCTTCCTTCCAAAGACTTAGTCCCGAAGCTTCACATGTGGAGAGTATGCTATCCGTTTTAATCATGTTGAGCGCTTTAAAACGCATGCTACCTTACTAGAATTGACCCCTCCTATTCAGTACGATTCCTCGTCTCTTCGAAAGAAGCACTCCTTACATTCTTCCAGTCATCCCCGAGAAATGGCGTTACTGAGAAACTGCAACCTGCTGACGGTGTAGCACGTCATGCCTGACAGATGGCAAAGAAATAAGAGACACGAAGTGATTACTTCGCATTCGAGCAGTTGCTCCATAACAGTGGTATTAACATTAGAATGTAGTTGTAGCGCTACGCTTCAGTGTCAAATGTACTTATTAGGCATGGTGAGGTTGGCTTCCAAGGTTGGTATCGCTTACACCGAAGCACATGAATCAGCTCACAATCAGTTGTACTCCTAAGCCCAAACATAGGATGACCCTCACAACTGTTTTTCTTATATCGATCTCCAGTTGTTCCCTAATTCTTCCCATGCGCAACTGGATAAGGTCGTCGCATCTATTGAAGATAATTTGGAAAAGAAGTAGTCATCGATCATCCAACAGAGGTCCCTATCTCCTGTTAGAGCTAGAGAAGATGATATTTCAAATCGTTTATAAAGCGCCACAATTTTGATAATGCATTTCAGGCACGTGAATTATGGGGTCTTGCTCAAACAACGTTCGAATGCGCTTCACGGATAGTATATGTAGGTGGTTTTCTCTACACCATTGCAACATTAGTCTTGTTAATGCGTAATATTCTACAGTGAATGTTTAAGTACAAAACAGATCTTCAATCCAAGTGAAAAAAGTAGAAACGCATTTAAGGGGACCAAGGTATAGGGAGTTGGATAGCCAGCGCAGAAGGGCAGCGGCTGCCATTACCGCAAACTCATGCAAGGAAATACTCCGGATACCAGCTTAGTAAGTCCGCCAAGTATGCTGGGATCCGACTCCCTGATGTCTCGTAAGGCATACGGTAATCGAAGGGTCTGAAAAAAAATAAAAACAACAACAAAAACAAGGGGGTATAAAACAACTTCATCATTGATATTCTCATACAACCAACGAAACTCAAATAGATCGCTTCACTGTTGTTTGCATTTATGTTTTGCTTTTATTTGCTTGTTCACCCCGAAATAGAAGTCGGAGATGTGAGCTTACTAGACTGAAAATTTAGTGAACTTCAGAAAACATTTGCTCAACTGATACATACATAACCCATTCATGGACTACGTGCATACTTATGGCAGAGTATTGTTTGTAGAGAAATAAAAAAGTGGAAAAGGCATTTATGAAAAAAAATTGGGAGCATGCGCGTCAGCCTGTCGTCAACTTAACCCTTTGGTAACAATGGCACCCACCGGTGGGTGCCACTATGTCCGTCGCGTGGGACAATGGCACCCAATGGTGGGTGCCACCTTAAAATTTCCTTCTTTGCACATTTAAAACATTTTTAACATCACTGTAATTATTAAAAAGCATCATAATGTCTGTGTTTAGTAGGGCCCACAGAAATATCCAATGAGAGCCAACTTATGGGAAGTTTTTGAGTGTAGCGTCTACTTCGTCAGCGTGTTATCAGGGTTGTTTTCATTAACAGGCTAAGCACTAATTACCAATCAAGACTTCGTCTTTTTACGATCTTCAGACAGGGAGGGATTTGAACTGTATCAAAAATTCCACTACACACTAAACTTCAAGAGTTTTACTCCCATTCTTCTGAAATCCGATTTCCACTTCCAGTCATTCGGTTGTTCTGCCAACAACATGTAATGCAAATTTTTAGGACTGCAGCCATAATTAGTGCTTTGCTAAAGTAAAAAATCTGATAGGAAAACTGCTTTCAGAGACAATTTTTTCAAATGCTGAGCATGGGCGCGCCAAAACAGCGTGATCTCACGAGCCCGTTACGTGGGAAATTGCAGTCCGTCGAAGGTTTGGTGTGGTGGGGGGGGGGGGTGTCGTGTGGGCCCTCTACAAACTGGTGAAGGTGGGTGGGTAATGTCGAGACCTCCTGAAGAGGAAGGGTCATTAAGTCCTCGTAACCGCCTTAGCGTGGCTGCTGACCCGGTTTGAAACTGCACCAGTTGTTCTCTATTCCATTTTTGCCGTGGGTCTAATGTCAGGGGCCTAAAGGGAACTCGGTTCATGCATAATTTCGGCTGTGTGTTTTTTTTATGAGTGCCTCTCCCATCCTATATGCGCTTTTCCGCGCTCCACAAAAATGTTGTGTCAACGAATGTTATAAGAACACAGGCAGCATCTTGTCTTTTAGCCGACTTCCTACGGAGATTATCCCACTGTCGACGAAGTTGTCATGCAGGGAATATGCTCAGTCTGTCAGGAGAATTTTTTCTCCCCAATCAAAGTGAGTTGAAACCAGTGCAGCTCGATTTGTTTCCGAAGTATAGCGGACGATATTTTTCTCCAACTCGCCCTTGTTGCTATTTCTTCATGTTTTTCGAGAAATAATACTTTAGCTCTGATTTTTCTGAGCGATTTTAGAGGGATTCTTTATTTTTTGCTTCTACGTATACAGTGGTTTGCACGAAAAGAAGTTCGTTAAACTTTGCGAGCAAAATGAAAGGAGTTTAAGCTCTGTTGTGCCCTTTCGTACGAGGCTCATATCCAAACAACAACGTCACTTGCAACTTTGCAACACGTTGGCGATTCACGCATCTTAAAGGCAAAGTCCGGGATGACCGATGTGTTATTGCGCTTGTAAGTGGCAGTGAAGGTGTGAAGTACAATGCTAGTAGTGGAAGAAGGGGGAAAAGCGTCGACGAAGACACAATAAAGTTCCCTTTTCAATGGCAGGACGCGAACTACCATTGTGGGCGGAGTGTAAGGTGATGGGCATGGCATATGATGAATTCTTAGACTTGAGCGGCTCAGCATGTTAAAGGAATCTTCCACTCCATGGTCCGTGGAAGATTCCTTTGAGTGGTGGCGCATGTGGGTACATGTTCTGCAGGTGTGTTTCACTCCATATTTTTCCCGTAAATCGCTTGCCCACATGCTCCAACATGGCCTTTGAAAGCAACGTTCAGGATTTCTTTGCCTTAAGATTTTCCCTGAGAAAAGTGCAGCGACGCTCAAGCGGGAAGCACGTACACAACTTGAGGATGATTTGACAAGGCGTGGCACTAAGGCCCTTGGATGCAGTATTGGCCTCGCCCATCACCATTGAACCCGCTCATAAGTAAGTGCCGTGCGCTTTGCTGATACTGGAAATAGGGTTTTTGCAGCTTTGTTGACTGTTTCTTCCCGTTTTTTTTCACTCCACTGTCACTCGCATACATCAGTACACATCAGTTCGATCCCGGACTTTGCCTTTAAAGGCAAGAATCAGGATTAAATTGATGGGGTGATTCCACTCAAATGTGAAAGTAGGGGTGGGAGGTGGACCGCCAGTGGAGAAAAAAGAAAGAAAATCCTGAAATACACAGGAAATACGAGCATTTTGCTCTATGCTGTGGAGAAGTTCAAAAGACAGGCAGGGAGAGATAATGTGAGCGCGGAGAGCGGTAGAGAAGTCCGAGAAGAGAGAGCATAGCAGATCAACGCAGCGACGCAGACAAGATATCGAACGGTGGGCGGACCATGTTAAGTTTGGTGGAGTCTGTTAGAAGTCCATGGCGCCTAGGGTCCTAGTGACGCGTTTCGATGTAGAAAGGTGGCGCTACCTTTGCACTTGCGTACCCAGCACTTCTAGCCATGGTAAGGGCTTCTTAGGTGGGTCTGAGCCCGAACTTTGCCTTTAAGCAACATGCAGTTGTCGCGGCGCATGACCTACAGTAAACACTTGTGATTTGTTGCTCCTGTGCTGTCGTTTGTGACTTTTTGCTTTCTCCATGCCTTTCAATTGCTTTTCCAATATAAACCAGCTCTAATGTGTTGATCATGATGTAGGTCACTATAGATGGTAAACTACTGCTAGTAGTGCGAAAGATGAATAGGAACAATGCAAATGGATAATTTACTGAACTGTTTTTACAACACAATGGCAGAAACGCGAAGGGATATTCTCATCTCCTACTGGGTTTCTCTCTTACCTTCTAAGTAAATCGACAACAACAGCGCAGCCACGGCGAGTGTTACCTTTTGGCGTGCTTTGCACTGCGTGTGCTTCATTGAATTCCGTGAAATGCGAGTCTTAGAAAGGAACAGCCCGAGATTTGTTCTTTCTCCTGTGTGTGAGCATTAAATTTTTGAGAAAGGTTGAGCGTACATCGGTAGGAATTGACGTTTGCAGAAGCTCTATAATGCTACTTTTTCAAAGTTCAAAGCCATCTATTCAGTTGAGCTGTTCCCATATCTTCTGCATGCCATGTATCGACAGGTGGCTGGAGTACGAAAATACTTGCCCTATTTGTCGCGCAACTGTGGAGAAGAAAGACAATTCATGGAAGAGTGGAGCTACAAGCAAAGGAATTCGCCTTTGTTGATTTATTTGTTTAGTTGTCATTGTTCTCAAATAAATTCACTTTTAACTCGTTTGTATTCATTTGTTCTCTCTTTTTTCTTCATCAGAATATTACGACGAAACCATCATTGTAATCTCATAAACGAACGAGACGCCGCATCAGGGTGAATAACGGTCGAGGAAATCCTCGACCATAGCTCTCTACCATGCGAGAGTAGTGCCGAGAGTGAACATCCGCGCGGAGAGCACAGACGGCACGCGCATGGCGAGTGTGAATGTCCGCGCGAGAGATCGTGTCTGATCGGGCAGAGAATCCTCGACGTGCCGTTGAGGAATCCTCAAGCGATATTCACCCTGCCGACAGGTTCAGCTGTGAGGTCCCAACGCGGCGGTTGTGGTTACGCGTACGACGATTGCGCTGATACGGCCCCTTTCTACTCTCCATGCTTTTAATTTTGGAGCCCAAAATGTCTGGTCATGACATTTTGTGTTTCAAAACTGAGTGCATGGAGGGTGCCCAATCGTCTGACATCCGGCGTACGGTATGTCTGGGCTTGTTTGCACCGTGTATGCTGCAAAAGCGCATCAACATCCGGTTATAAGGTGCAAACAAGTGTCAAGCGGAATGCGGACATACCGTACCCCGGTGTTGCGTAATTTTATTCTCAGGAGTACTTTCCATGTCAATATACTCACGCTGAAATCGTACTAGTTTTAGTTCTCACTTTCGCGTATGGAATATTCATCTGCGCAGTCCGATCGCATTCAGACAATTTGAAAGCAATGAGAAGAAGGGGCTGCCTGCCTTTGACCATTTGGTGCTAACTTAGTTGGGGGGGGGGGGGCCACGCGGCGGCGCGGCAGTCTGCTCACCTGGGCTCTCTCGAGCGAGACAGTGTAAACTCGAACATTCCAGCTTTTCACGCATGTCAAGTGACTGCCCCACCCCCCACCCCCCTAGACTGCCTACACTCCCCCTGGCTCACGGATTTCCCGAAGTACATGCCAGGCGAGCAGACTGCCGCGCCGCCGCGTGGTCCCTCCCAACTAAGTTAGCATCGACCATTTTACTTGTTTATTTCGTAGAATCATCGCTTGGCACATCTACATTCACATTCAGACGGTATCAGCTTAGCTTGGATTTTGCTTTTAAGTCTTTACGGACGCACTTTCGCAGCTTCTTCCGCTCTCATATGGGGCCTTCCATCCTTGACTGTAGTTTTATTTGCTCTTATTGGAACCTCCAATAAATCGTAACATCTACCGTTACGTGGAAAGGTCATAAGTGCAGGAGCCAGCCGCGCACCGACCCAAATCCCTTTGCGGCTTTTATTCTCAGATGAGCGAATCACAGAGCTGGAAACCTGCAAATCTTCACAAATCAGTGAGGCCAGAAAACATGGGTAAACTCAGTATTTCCGACCCAGAGGAAGGGGTCGTATTTGGCCTACTGATTCCGAGGAAGAGAGGTTTGCAAACACACGAACAGGGTCAACCGTCACGTTCGAACATTTTCGGGATTTTTGCGACCCCCCCCTCTCGAGAGGGTCCAGTTGCGACCCTCCTCCAACACAAAGTTGCGATACAACCAGTGAAACGGCAACTTTTTCACACGCACCTACATATGCCCTGCGCCCCTGATCACCAAAGCGCGCAATGCGACCAATGCGACCCCTCTCCCCTCCCAGAAACACAAATGCGACCCCCCCCCGTCCTGTTCGAACGGACGGTTGACCCTGCACACGAACCATCGGATTCATTCGTGGTGGCCAGCCATTCGAATAACCTCAAAGGCAGTAAATCTCGGCATGCTTTGGTCCTTTCAGTCGCGTTTTTCGAAACCGCAACCAAGATGGCAATATTTTTGTGTTCGGCCAACGTTTCGTCCTGTTCGCTTTTGTCATAGTATGGACGGAAAGGGCGGAAGTGGTGTAGTGGCAAGTGGCACGCTTACCACGCGAGCGGTCCGGGATCAAATCCTGGGTCGTGAGTCGCCCGGGCCAACCAAGCCTTCCATCCCTCCGGGGTCGGTTAATTGGTACCAGACTTGTCTGGGAGGATAAAAACACTGACTTGTACATCGGCTGGCCCCCGCAAGTCATTGTATAGGCCACATCGCATTCAAACGCCACTACGAATGTACAAATGGAAGTAGAATGCGTGCCGCATCCCAAAAAGGGATTGATCAACGGCAAATGCTTTATCCTTTATTTTTAAAAGTATAATTTATACGAATTTTCAAAATTTGAGTGAAC